AAGAAAGACATCATACTTCCATCGAGCACAGTCCTGTGAATTACTCGCAAAAGAGGAAGAAGATGCCATGGATTCAATTATACGTCTGGAAAAAAAAAACACAAATTGTAGGTGTGGTGATAGAAAGAAAATGAAAGATGATCTACTCTTTAAAAAGGTATATTTTAAAAAAGAAAGAGTGAATCATATCAGATGGCGCTCTCCTTGAAAAAAGTATATTTTGAAATTGTAAATTATGTTAATGTTGTCACCGAAAGTAGACAACTTGACATTTAAAAACACTATGGGTCCTAATGAAAACAAAATAATCAATTGTTTTTGGAAAAGAAAGAAGAGAAGATGTTTTTTGTTAATGGTTTTCTTTGTCACCGAAAGCAGACAACTTGACATTTAAAAACACTATGGGTCCTAATGAAAACAAAATAATCAATTGTTTTTGGAAAAGAAAGAAGAGAAGATGTTTTTTGTTAATGGTTTTCTTTGTCACCGAAAGCAGACAACTTGACATTTAAAAACGGCATAATACATATATTGGACCTTAAACTTGGCTTCAAATTTTAACTTTGACCTCCAACTTTCATAGTGCACAAACAAGCACTTTAACTATCCAACCTTTTAATAAATAAACACGTGTGTCTTACCTGGCAAAACGCTATTAGTTATACTTAATCCTAGTGCTAGATCGATAATTTACAGTGCTTCATATTCACAAACTATTTCTATCATGTTGATACGATGTGAATGGAGATTATGCTTCTTCAGTAGAACTTGGTAGTGGGGGAGAAAATATTTGAGCTTGCTCTACCACTGGAAGTAGGTTCGATTCCTGGAAATAGTTCCTCTCTGCTCCGCTTGCTTTGTGATATAAGACGACTTACTAATGCTTCTATCGTTCACCCGTTTTGGCACAACTTTCTTGCCTTATATTGATCATCTATCTGCAGTTGGATTTAGGGCAGGCTACTCATCAGAAAATGTGAAGATAGTAATTTTAATAAAGTATTTATTTTTTTGTTATTTATTATGTAAATTCTTAAAGTTATCGAGAAATATGCCTGCATAAAAAGTTTAAAAGATAAATATAAATAACACAGAGGGAGAGATGATGCCGTAATTCTAAAAAAAGTCTATATACACAAAAAAGAAACGTTTGTATTATTTGAATCAATTGAGACACAATCATTGTTATTGATATTATAAAGAAAGGATATAACTTACGTTTTCATCATAAGGTCAAGTTGTATTATTTATTGTTTTTCTACAAAATTCAATTCATTAAACATAACTACATTTCATATTTGGTTAGAGGAGGACGGAAAAGATCGAAATGAATAACGTCAAATTTAACAACACAAATAAATAGCGTAAAGTATTAACTAAGTATAAGTTTGATTTATACTGAGAGATTACAAATTAGTACTAGATTTATCTCTAAAATTCAAAAATAAGAAGATGATGTATGTATATTTAGTCAAATATATATTGTATCTGGATTAGTATCTATTCCCTCAAGATATTTCATATAAGATAAAGAACCCTTGCATAATATGGAAATTTGGTCAACAATTTCTTTAATATAGTCCGATTAAATCCTACAAAAAATAAGAATATTGATATATACAGGTAAAAAAAAAAAGTCAAGAATAAGAAGTATATTACACAGTAAAGTCCATAATTATGATAAAAAGGACTATGCATGCAAATCAAACTCCAAAAGAATCAATCAAAATATTATCTTCCTAACAATGTCATCGAGTAATAAAATTGATAGGAACTATCCCTTCTAACTTATAGAAATATATATAATCAACCATCATTCTTTTTTAGAAAATAGGAAAAATTTATTTAAGATTCTCTTTGACTAATTTTTTATGTACAGAATATATGTGTATGTAGTCGTCATAAATTATTCCTTCAATTTCAATTCATGTGTTTTTAACTCACCGGTTGCGGTTATCATATCCTTTTAGATTTGAAGTAGCTTTTGCATTATAAGAGGCACATTATTGATATGATCAACGCCAATGTACTTTTTTAAGAAAATATATATAAGCTTTAATTAAAGATAAATAAGAAAAAAAATTTTAATTAAAGATACAAAAAATCAAGGCAAAATAAAAGAAGAAAGAAATTAGAAGAATAATGAGGTTGAAAGAAATAATATCTAATAAACTCAATGCTCTGAATTACTTAATAATCCGCCTTCTGGATTAACTTTTATTCATATGTTGCTTGTATTATGAATATGAATGGAAATTATGCTTCATCGGTAGAATATTTGAGCTCTACACTTGCAAAATTTAGAAGATGGGGTCTACTCTAATTGAATTGAATTATTGCTATGGGGTCCACAATAATATGAACACAATGGACAGCTCAAAATATAAGTGGATGAAGCTGCAAAGGAAGACTATACCTTGGAAAATATCTCCGTTGAATCAAATTATTGCAAGTTAATTCTACTCGGTATCCTTCACCTGCATAGGAGCATGACTTAATTGCATCGAAATTAAAGGCTCACATTAAGAGTAAAACACTTCCTAACCGATGTAATAAAATAGTTATCTTGGTACAAATATGAAAATGGCCTCTGTTGGAATGTATGCGTCCACTAAGTACAATGGGACCAGGTCCTCAACATAATTATAATGAGACATAAAGTAAGTGCTGAAAGTAAAGATGACACACGTACTTTACGTGGAAACCTCCTTGCTCAAGGGAGTGGGTATGACATAAATACTTTTAGTTTTTTTTTTTACAATACAAATAAAAAATACAAAACAAAGATAAAATGTCAAAAAAGGGAAAAAAAAGATGAATACAAATACTGGTCATATTCACTCAATGAGCAGCCAAAGCAATGCCTGCATTGCCTACTATACTAACTCAACTGATTAATATAGACTTTTGACGTAAGACACTAAGTTTCCCTCAACTAAGTTCTTACAATGATTCACCCAAGGTTGAAACGTTTCTATCACAGCCGAAACGATTCCTACAATATAAGCACAAATACAAGTAGTCAAAGTAACAGCCTGTAACATCCGGCAATTTGAAATAACTATGAAGAGGCTTAGAAGTGGAAATAGTCATTCTTGGAAAGAATTCAAAAATATGGAAATTTGGTTAAGTGTGGAAAAAAGGTGAGTTTTTGGCCAACTTTGAACAGTCATAACTCCTAGATCAGGATGAGTTAGGTGTGGTTCCAGTTATGGTTGCGAAGCTCGTGGAATGATCTTTCCAACACCACCGAGTTTGTTTGATTTCCGAGTTCGTATGAGTGAGTTATGCCCTTTGGAAGTTGGGCAGTTGGCAGGGAAGTTCGTCCGGAAATTTTAAGGGTATTTTGGTATTTTCCCTAACCAATTCTTTTGGTTATATTAGTGTGTTAGACTGATTTTTAGATCAGTTTTTCCCATTTTAAAGAGTGAGAGTAAGGGTTTGTGAGTGAAGAACCGAATTCGTATGAGCGAGTTATGGCCTTTGAAATTTGGGCAGTTGGGCAAGGAATCCGTCCGGAAAATTAAGGGTATTTTGGTCTTTTCCCTAATCAATTGTTTTGGATATATTAAGGTGTTAGACTGATTTTAGATCAGTTTTTCCCTTTTT